CCCAGACCATGAGTAGTTGCCAAGGAGAGTGGGAACCCATTTGTGGCTAGGCCATGAAGAAGATCCATTTGGTTTGGCCGACGGGTTTATCTTCTAAAAGACGTGTTCAGAGAATGGTTTGTTGGAATAGAATATGCAATGAGATTGAATAGGCCGGGGTTTGGTAAGATGGAATCAAGTAATTTAATCAGTATAGAATATAACTACAAACCTACTTAGGAACTATCAAGAATAGGCTTGTCAACATTGAACGAATGATTTGGTATGAATATTTCAAAGAATATGTATGCATGTAATAAAATCTAGCTGGATCATCTGGTGCTTTTAGCCTTCATTCTTTCCCAAGTTTTCACAAGGATTACACAATTTTATTCTAGATGTATACACTATTCTGTACATTTCCTATCTAAATAATACTATGATAAGAAAGCAGCTTTAAGTTGACTGAAGTCTAATAAAGTCTGGACCACATTCGGTCTCAGAAGCCTCCTAAAAAATATTCGCCAATTGTAACAGAGCTTATATGCATGAGTTTCTTTACCGTCAAAAACTTATCTACTTTTAGATACGAATCTCAGCTCTTTTCATCCGAAACCAGGGAGAAAGTCCCGTGGACTGCGTCAACATGAATATCCTATACAATCCAACCGGCTGCAGTACAACGAGTATCATCCGTCCTCATCTGGTGAGATCGACCAACGAATCACTTCTTCATGCACTTTCATACGAAATGAAGGTCTCTCTAACAATGTTATCTACTTCTTTATAGGGTCGAGCGAAAAAGAGTTGACATCATTAAAGTTCATTGTACCGTTTACATTGGTATACGACTAGATTTTTTAACATTTATTTTACAGTTGCAGTGCTCCAGTTCGCTTTTTTTAAGAAAAACTCTCTAAATTTCCTCAAAAGGATCAAACTATTAAAATTCTATGAACCGGGATGAATTTCAAGCATTTCACTTATATTTTTCTTACTATATAAACCCTGGATATGAACATAGTAACCTGCAACCTTTTGTAGGGCTGGTTAGACTTAGTTATTTTAAATTGGTCTGAGCGACAGGGCGACCTCGTGGAACGTGCCTAGTCTTGCGTCCTCTGCCATGGCATTCATGATACTTTCCAGCATCTGACCGTTGATTCGGTAAATCCCCAGATATTTCGTCGGCATAGTCAATGAGAGGCGCCATCCTTAGCACGTAATTACAAATGATCAAAATGGATACACAAAGTAAACTCAACACTATACAACTAAAGGAGACTATGACCAAACAAAAGGCTACACCATCTTGGTCTTGCGATCTACGATACAATCTTTATGTTCAGCACGAGTTGATACAATTTGAGTGTTTTATAACTAGCCCTATGAAAATATTTACCGTTGAAAACCACGAATGTGCACCATTTTTCCGTCTTGGGTAGTAGAGTTTATGGGCAAAGATCATGTAAAATATTTGACGGGCACACTTGAACATTTTCATTTTGCATACACACTGGAGGATTTTTAACCTGAAACCTTCATTGCATAGAGATAAACTGCTAAGTAACTAATAAAAGTTAAGAGAAGTTGCCTTATTTACATTCTATAGGAATATAAACTTGTAACCAAGCAACGGCATATTATTTAAGAAATTGTTCTAATTTAGGGATCCGCCAACTATAAATTAATCAGACAAATGCGTACGAAATTATAGGAAACATTAAGAATCTGTCGTGATCACCTCGTATTTACTTCGCCAAACTAATATTAAACATGCATAATGATAAATATCTCTCATATATCTATTTAATCAACTAAGAAATATAATTTAGCAATGTTGGTTGATAATATTTAACTACTTTGTAAGGTTTGCAGTCACTTGGTGGCCGATGAGTTCTCAAAAAACCTATTAAGGTATGTAATTTCCCTTAGGACCCTGGAATTCTTAAGCCAATAAGCGTTGTTCCGTATGCATAATTTCTGCTTAAAATCAATAGAAAAGTAATGTCTAAAACTCTAGATGGATATAGTTGAAATAAACGTAATAAATATATGATAGTATACTACCACTAAATATTTAAATACAAAAATGCAGATGCTTCCTTTGTACGAAAGGACTTTAGAAGCTTCGTGAGTCAGCCTGATAAGCAAACTTTGTTCCTCAATGGTCAATTAGAACTAGCATATGTTAGGATAGTGTAGTCTTTAGACAGACATGGCACAATTTTGACAGTTTTGTATTTGTTAAGTTCTATGCAATTGAGCTATCACAGCCGAAATATCAGTGTACTTCTTTGAGAGTATGGAGTTCAAGACTTTTCTTCATCACCATCATAAAATAATTATTAAAGGGAAGAAGCCTAATGTACACACATATCTAAGGATATACAAATCTAAAATTTGTAAACAATAATGTCTATTACAGATACCAATATTAGGAGTAAATGATACTCACCGTAGCTACTAGTGTCCCCGTGTAGGGCAGAAGAGCGGAGATCCTTTGAGGGAAGTTATGCGCTATGGTCACAAATGCACAAGAGTCGAGGATTTGCCGCGAGCTTGCTTAGTGCCAAACTGGCTCCGAAATCGTTGTGGCCTTGGTACAGGCCGAGATTGGTTCGCGCGTCTGGTCACCGGTCTGTCGGCGAAAACGCTGAGACCAGATGCGGGCACGCTTGCGCTGCTTGGCTGGGCAGGGAGAAATGGCTGGAGCAAACTGACCCTTGCCAGTCGTTAGTGCGCTGCTTAGAGGGTTAGAGAAGCTGGACAATACCCTGTTGGTTGTCAGGGCGGCCTAATAGTATGGAATGATGAGGCTCGAAGATGACTCGTGGGCGAATCCAGCTGGACAGGAGCAGAGGTAACGCGCAATCGTGGGCTTCCGTATCATAATCGCTGGTCGGCTGTAGAGCGGATAAGACTGCCAGTCGGTCTCATACGTCTGACTGTTAACCAAAGCCTAGAATGGCGGGACGAAAGTAATGAGCGAAGGCTATCTGTGGCGC